CACACAAGTTTTATAAATGTATTATGCGTCTTTTGTCGTTCGCACACGTTTGCACAACGTTAGGCTCATAGTTAACAAAAACTTTGAATGGAATGACCGTTCTCGATTTACTATAGAAAATCCCAAATGTTGGCTGACACCTGCCACATTCTATGGTTTTTATCTTTGTATGTTCGTGGATTTTAGCGTAAAATTTGTTGAATCGTATGGTTTAGATATCAATTAATGATTTGAGATGAAAAAATTTGCTTTATTTGTTTTTTTTTTCACATTTTACCTGGGCCTATAAGTGCACTCGTTCTTTTTTCACATTTTACCGGGGCCCATAAGTGCAATCGTTCTTTAAGTTGACTGATTTGAATTACACTTACTATAAGGAGATGTTATAGATGGAATGGTAAACTTAGGAATGTATATGTCTTGGCTCTCTATATCCTCTAGCTTGTCTTCTTTTTCTTTTCCCACTTTGACATTCGTGTTATCTATCAAAATCAAACAATTTTTTACTGGTTTATAAGCAAATGATTTAAATCACTCCTGATTCTTTTCAGGGTATGATATTTTTATATAAGTGAAAAACTTTAAAAACTGAAAAGAAAGAATTAACGTTAAATCAAATAAAACTGAATATTTTTACAGCTTTTCTCCAGAAAAGTCAATTTGCACAGCAGAAATTTAAGGTAAGGACACTTAAAGGGTAATAAACAATTATATGTAGTAATAAGAATATTTTATTTTACTTACTATATCGGGAGCCATTTCAGTTTAATTATATAATTATAATATAATTATTATTATAATTTCAGTTTGTAAATAATGGCATAACAATTCATATGTAAAATAGATTAGTCAGCATTCGATATTGATATAATGCTCTAGGTGTAAATAAAATTTAATTAATAAAAAGGTTACAAAATTTTGATTTTTAACAGGATTGTTTTTATAACCTGTTTAATTTATCCAGAATTGTCCTCTTTTATAAATTATTCATACTCAGAGCATATTCTTGTGTATCAAATGGACAAAAGACAATCTCCAGACAATAAGCAGATATGCAGATGATAGGGATATGTTGCTAAATAAATACAAGATTGATTGATTTTATACTGTTTAACGTCCCTCTCTAGAATATTTCACTGATATGGAGACGTCACCATTGCCGGTGAAGGGCTGCAAATTTAGGCCTATGCTCGGGCCTTTGAGCAGGGAGGGATCTTTATCATGCCACACCTGCTGTGACACGGGGCTTCGGTTTATACGGTCTCATCCAAAGGACCGCCCCATTTAGTCGCCTTTTACGACAAGCAATTAAGGAGGTACTGAGGACCTATTCTAACCCGGATCCCCACGGGCCAAATAAATACAAGAAGTTGTCAGAAACGTTAAAATCAAGTTTATCATAAAGTTTTGCTTTTTATGTTTCTATTAAAGTCTTTTTTTTCTTGTAAAATATCTAATTATGAAAAACGTGTCATACAATGTGGTATACTTTATTTCAAGTTTACTGGGATACCTTGAGTCGAAATATGAATGGAAGCAACTATTGTTAATAACCAAGTTGAGGCGGGAAAATGTGGTATATTAGTTAATTTTGAATAGATAAGAAAGAAAGCAAAATGAACATGCTAGTGTTGTATATTCATTTTAAGTGATATGTGTGATGTTAGCAAATCGAACACACACACACACAGTCAAACATACCAGAGCTCTAGCTTATGTTTATGCAACTTCTATAAGGTCACGAAGAATGCCGTTTTCATTAAATATTGTGATTTTTTATTCAAATTAAATTCTTAAAACCAAGGATTTTTTAAATATCATCCAAGTTTGTAGATAATCATAAATCAATCGTAAGAGAAATATAAAAAGATGTTTTGTGTTGTATTTTAACATGATTTTGCAAATGAAATCTTTTAATTAAGATTATTATATCTGTGAATGAAATAGTTACATTTACCACAATCAATCTTCTTGCCTTCCTCCATTAGCCCTACACTCTTCATACGTATACTGTCTTCCATTGTGTTGATAAATGACTGAGGAATAAAAAAATAGATGTCATGATATAATCAATTGATTAACAATGAATAATTGAAAGATAATTATTGTCCTCAATACTATCAATTAAATTTTTGTTTGATTAATCATTGTGCCAGAAATGCATTGAGGATAGAATTACTAATTCATCATTTTTAAAAAAAGGTATTTTTTTCAGTGGTTGTTAATTATTTCTGGAAAGAAACATGATATAATTTTGTACCGCTTATGCTAAATTTTATTGTGAAAGGAATACCTTTTAAAAATTTCTTCCTTTAAATGATTTCAAAATTACTCAAATGGGGATTTTTTACTACCTTTACAAATAAGCAAGCAGCATACTTTAATAAAAAAAATCATATATCTATACTTAATAAATAAAATCTTCTCTGTTTTTGAAATGATAAAATTTAATTTAAATACTGACTAAATCAAGTTTATGGAATGGATATATCCAATCATTTGGAATGAAGAATTCTGAACAGCCTACAACCGGAAGATCAAACATTTTTCCACTCGAATCTAAAGTAACATAACCTTTCTTTAACAGATTTTCTGCATCTGAAATTAGATTAAGAATTTAGATTTAAGTAATTAAATAGTTAATATTTCTGAAAATGCATGTACATCAAATAGAGTGAAACCATAAAATTTTAAAATCTTTTTTGAAATTCAAAATAATTATGTTTTCTGCCAGTTTGTCTGTACATACGGAACGCTCAACTTCAAGTACGTTGCGTAGCAATCAAAGGATTTTTCAACCCTAAGCTTACTATGTCGAAAGAGTACATGGCTATCATTTTTTAGAGAAAATGTGAAAGCAGTTTGCTTGGTGTGAAACTTACACTTTTTAAAATACAGTATATATTGAATTATTTAAGGAGGTTCATTCCTGAGCTTTTAAAGATATTTTTGTCTGGATCTTTAATTCATATTTTCCTTGTTGTTTAGTTATAATTCTTATTTATGGCACGCTAAATTCACAAAAATGAGCTAAGCATACTTTCACAGTCGATAAACTAGGTTTATCGGTTGTTAACTATAGTTTACGGACTGTAAACCATAGTTTTCAACGTGAATCTATATATTTACATCTGTAAACCATAGTTAACGCGATAATCTATGTTTCACAATCGTAAACCATACTTAACACCGAAAACATTCATTTGCGATTGCAGAACATAGACCTATCTGATAAATACAGTTTCACGATTTGTCAGCTATGGTTTACAACTCTTACCTATAGTTAACGATCTGTTAAATATAGTTTCACGATTTGTGAAACTATGATTAACAACTCTTAACTATAGTTTACGATTGTAAATTATAGTTTACGTGAATCAACAAAATCTGTTATTAACGTTTTATTACAGATAGATAAACTTAGATAAGCATTCGTAACCTATAGTTAACAACCGTTAAATAAAGTTTTACAGATGAAAACTATAGTAAACGAATTTTTAACTATAGTTCACGGTTTGTGAACTATAGTTTACAGTCGATAAACCTAGTTTATCAACTGTGAAATTATGTTTTAGCTCATTTTTGTGAATTTGGCGTGCCATACTTTTTTCTATGCTGGATAAAAATAGAGCTATTGTTTAATGTTTCTTCTGAAATATCTATTATATTAACAGTAACAGTAACTGTTTTTTTGGTTCAATTAACTACAAATAAAGAAAAATATATCTGAAAATATATTGAAAGTTCAAGGAAAACGAGGTCTATGTTAACATAGAATTAACACAGTAAAATCATAAAATTTTCATCAGAGATCCCTAATTTTGCATCCTCTTTTCTGAATATATCAGATGATCTGAACAATCTGTATCAATTTTAAAAATAAAAGCGTGGACTTTATTTTTTTTTTTATTTTAATGTCCGACTTTATTTATTTTTTATTTTAATGTCCGAAAAACCATGTTGTGAGTGCAAAAAGTTCTAAAATTGATTGTGAGGAAGTATTTAAAGCTTTTCTTTTGTCTCGAGTTTAATTAGTTTGTTTTAAGATAGAATAAAAATATATATTGTCTCATTGTTTTTGGGGGGTAAAAATTGCTGGAGGGAAAACTTTGAAGATGTGATTTATGATGAAGACACAACTTCAGTGGAAAAAGGTCATATCATGTGGACAGTAACGAATATTAACCCCTATTTTTTGTTTTGATTTTCGATTGAGCTTTGTACGTAGATACTAAGATATACATGAAAAAATATTCTTAATATCATGATCCAAAATCGTAAAACATACCTTCTTCGCTTCTAAACAAAACAATCAACGTTTCTTCTCCATTGCCAATACTGAGTTCATTATGGCGTTGACACTTTTCAACACCACGAATATTGTAGATACATTGGTATATGAACTCCTCTGGAACTTTTTTGACCAGCACACACCGTCTGGATAAAGACTCTCTGCTACACATTCTGATTTACTTGTTCCACCTGGGCACTTTCTAGGCTACTCATGGTAAAAAGTACTTTCGTATTGGAAAACCGCTGGCTGTGTAAATTTTTCTTCTACTTTCGTTTCGTTATTTGGTGACGTTTAAATACAGCTGCTCATTGATCTACTATGCATTTGTAACAAGGATTTTTTTCATTGTGTTTTAAAGAGTATTCTTTTCACATTATTTCATTTATTTACATCGTGTTCAACATGAAACCTATGAAAGTATATTATTTAAATATAACAATTTAAAATGATTTTGACATTAGAAAATAGAGCTGGTTAAAAGAATTCATAAAATTGGTCGTCAAGATAATTTTTGATAGACCTGAATTTAGTGAGAAAGAATATAAACAGGGATAACAAGTTTTAGAATTTAACAACTTTGTAGAGAGAGAGTAAGTTAATCATATTGATTAAAAAGATAAAATTCATTTTAAAAATCAAAAATATTTCTGAAAGGTTCTAAATGAGCTTTCATAATACCCATTGTTTGAATATAATGCCATTTGTT